TCCAAGGGAGAGGTGGAGGTCTCAGCTCACGTCGCCCTGGCACCAGGCCTGTGCCTTTCTTGTCCCCACAACTGCCCCAGGTGCCAGGTGAGCAGTCGGAACTCGCCAAGGCCTCATGTGCGTGGTGGCATAGTCAAGTCCAGGCCTTGGAGGACAGGCCGTACAGCTGGCCAGTGGGATGGGAAGACCACACCTGACCCCAGGTTCTTGCTGCCTGGAGGTCAGGCTAGCAGGGAGCCTGAGGTGCAGCTGGCACTGTGTGCACGGTGTGTGTGTTTGGGCCAGCATTTAGCACTGCGAGTGTGTGAAATAGGGCACTGCAGGAAACTCCAGTTTTCTAACTGCTCCCAAAAAATCTGAGGATGCCAAACTCTGCTGCTGCCACTAACCTGCTGTGTGAGATCAGGAAAGTCCCCTAACCTCTCTGTGCCCCAGCTTCCGGTGTGATGGGACACTACTAAACCTCACAGTATAGTGAAGACTAAATGACACACCGGAGATACTAGCAATTAACCATTTATTTTATGATTACTGCCCTTTTCTGGCAAGTGACTGGTTTCTGTTACAGTGGTGATATAAAAATTTCTTCCTGTTTCATTCATTTAAGTTTTAAAAGGTCTATTTAAGAGAGAATATTAAGCAAATAATAGCTCTGCTGGCGTTAAGATGCAGCGGCAGATGGTAAGGACAGCAGAGGGGGGAGCCAGCTCCTGGTTAAAATGCTCCTTACCATGACCTTCCTGGCCCTGGGGAGCCTCCAGCTCACCCCAGCCCACCCAGGACCCAGGGATTCCAGGTCATCGCATCACCTGCCGGTCCCACGTCTTGTCTCAGCAGCATTTCTGAGTCTCTTAGAGCTGCATTCCCTCCGTTGTCCCCTAGCCCAGGAGTCCTCAGGGCAAGAGGCGTGGCCCCCTGGGCTACCACCTCATGGCCAAACTTGAAATAACATCTCAGCCCATCCTTGTCCAGAGATGTCCCTGGACAGTGGGGTCCCAAAAGATGACAGGGTCTTGGGCCCTGGGGTAGGAGAGTGCAGAAGCCTGGCTAGAGGCCAGGGCCTCAGTAGCTTCCCTGAGAAGACGCCCTCTGAACCCGCTTGCCCTGTCACAGGGACTCAAATTCATTCATTCAGTCAGTCAACAGATACCAAACTCCCAGCCTGTGCTGAGGCTCCAGTGGCGAGAAGGAGACAGATACAGTCTCTGCCCTCGAGCTTACATTATAGGTGGGGGCGTAGAAATGGTAAGATAATACCATGAATGTTGCTATGAGGATGATACAGCAGGAAAGAGGATGGTAATGTGTCCCAGGTAAGAGGGTGGTGGGGCAGGCCTCAGGGAGGAGGTGACATTTGAGCAGAGTTGTGAAGCCAGGGTGATATCTGGGGAAGGAGTTTCTCAGGCACAGGAACAGCCCTTGCAAAGGCCCTGCGGTGGTTTTCCAGTTGCTGTTGCTAACTAACAAGTTGCCCTAAAATCTGGCAGCTTAAAACAACCATTTAAATTTCACTCACAATTTTGTGGACCAAGAATTGAGGTGGGGGCTTGGTTGGATGCTTCTGACTGGGGATCTCATGCTGCTGGAGTCAGATGGCAGCTGGGACTGCTGGCATCGGGGGATCGCCCAGGCTGGGTGTCCCGGACGGCTCACTCTCACGCTGGCAGGTAATGTGGCTGTCGTCAGGGGGCTCCGCTGGGCAGTCGACGTGAGGGCGTCTGTAGGGCATAGTCCAGCCTGGGGCATGGGACTGGGATGCTCCCACCGAGCCTGGCTGTGCGGCCAATTCCTGACCTGGCCTGGGGCTACGTTTAATCCTCAGACACACCTGAGGAAGTAGGTACTGTTGTCACTTTCATTTCACAGATGCAGAAACCGAGGCACAGCGAAGCCAAGGCACTTACCCAAGGACACACAGTTAGGGAGTGGGACAGCCAGGGCTCGAACACAGCGGTCTGCCATAATTAACCTCTGTGAGGTCCTCATTCTTTTAAATAGCTCGATAGTGTTTGTTTGTTTATTTTTAAATTAAACTATTTATCTGGGATGACTAGGTTCATGTGTAGCTGTCAGAAATAATGCAGAGATCTCACGTGCCCTTAACCCAGTTTCCCCTGTGGTAACATCCTGCAAAACTGCAGGATGATATCACAGCCAGGACGTGGACATTGATCCTGTCCACAGGTCTTCTGTACAAGGGTAAAAAACTATTTTTTAAATGTTTAAAAAAATTTTTTTAAACTCGGGAGATATCACAAAAACTGTTGGATCTCTGGCTTCTCTTGAGCCATGAGATGATGAGGCCTCCTGAGAAGCAAGTCCTGAGACGAGGTTTCAGTACAGACAGCAGCAGCCACGGGGCTGCAACCCACTGCAGGCAGCTCGGCTTGAGCCCGCTGGGAACCCCAGGGGACAACGCCCTCCCCAGAGCTCTTACTGCCTCCCCCCAAAGGCAAGGGGCCTGGGGCATTCATCCACCGACTCCCCACGGTTGCTGGTTGAGGGCTACTCCTGGGGCAGGTCGGGGGCTGCCGATTCTCCAGCCCTTCCACCTGCCCCCTCACTGGGAAGAGCCGGCATGGGGTCACCAGAAGACCTCGCACAGAGAGACACAGGCGCTGGCCACTGCAGCCCAGGCCATGTGCAGGGCTGCCACAAGGATTTCTATCTCCTTGGCTCTGCCCCTAGGGCCCACAACAGTGCCTGGCACAAGAAAGTGCCCATTTAATCATGCTTGAAAGGTCAAGTGAATGGATGAACACCGGAAAGCAAACAGGAGTGCGTTTCTGCCCACTGCCCTTCCAGCGGCCTCCCTGCCGGTGAGGGGTGCGGCGGAGCCAGAGTGAGGAAAAACAAACTCTTTCCTTCTGCCTTCACACACTACACAGCACACTTCTGGCCACCAACAACCAGTTCTCCAGGGGACACCAGCTGGATGTCCTCTAATTCCATTCAGTTCAATTCTGACACTGCCCACCCGGAGATAGGGTCAGACCCCACAGGTTGAGGCTCAGTCCCACCAGACTGACCCTCCCTTCAGATGCCAGTTGCAAGCCCCAGGTTGCGGCCTGTGCTTCTGACAGACTGGCGCTACATTGGGGTTCCCATGACCCCCTCCTGGGGTTCAATTAATTTGCTGGTTCTGTTCACGAAACTAAGGGAAACACTTACTGACGTTTACTGGTTTATTAGGGCTGGCTGGTTGGCTCGGGTGGTTAGAGCGCAGTGTAATAACACCAAGGCCAAGGGTTCAGATCTCCATACTGGCCAGCTGCCAAAACAAACAAAAAAGATTAAAAAATAATAATAAGGATATTACAAAGGATACAGATGAACAGCCAGATGGAAGAGATGCATAGGGCGAGGATTGGGGGCGGGGATGTGGAGCTTCCGTGCCTTCTCCAGGCGTGCCACCCTCCAGGAACCTCCACATGATAAGCTATCCAGACGCTCTCTCAACTCTGTACTTCTGCACTTTTATGGTGGTTTTGTTAAATAGGCATGACTGATTACGTCATCGGCCATTGGGGATCAACTCAACCTTCAGCTCCTCTCCCCTCCCGGGAGGTTTAGAGGTGGGGCTGAAAATTCCAACCCTCTAATCACATGGTCGCTTCCCCTGGGAGCCAGCCCCTATCCTGAGGCTATCCAGGAGCCCACAAGAGTTGCCTCAGTGGAACGAAAGATGCTCCTGTCACCCAGGAAATTCCACGGGATTTAGGAGCTCTGTGAGGAGCTCCTATCACTCAGGAAATTACAAAGGTCTTAAGTACTCTGTGTCAGGAACTGGGGTCAAAGACCAAATACGGGAACAAAAGATGCTCCTAGAGTTCCTGTCTGCAAGGGTTTCCGGAGCTCTGTCTCAGGAACTGGGCAGAGACTAGTACGTGTTTCTCATTCTGTCACAATACCACACCAGCAAACGCAGGTGGCTAGAACCAGACCTCTGGCGTCCAGGGTTCAGGTCCCTGCTGCACCCCTGCCTGGTTGTGACCTTGGGCAAGTCCCATCTCATCCATACAACAGGACAGTGCGCCCTCAGGGTGACGAGTAGGTGAAAGTGAGCACACTCACAGGTGCTCCGAGAAGAGCCAGCGCTTGCAAGGGTATCTCTCCTTCACCTTTCCACGTGCAGGCTCTGCACCGGGTGTTCAAATGACCTCTTCCTAACCAACGCCCCATAGCCTGAGCAGTTAGTTACTACTCACATGTGTTAATTACCACCCACTTGTGTAGACTGGGACAGGGCCAAAGGGGTCAGGAGCTGAGCTGGGATCACACCCAAGTGTGTCACTTCCCCAGGATCACTAGGATTCAAAGGCGGTCACTTCCTGGCTGTGTGAGTGAGACCTGGGCCTCAGTTTCCCCATCTAGCATAGGGCTAATGGGTTTGGGGAAAAGGATCATCCCCAAGCAGATCCTTCTCAAAGAGCTTTGGGAATGGGGTGGAGCAGTACACACCTCAATGGTAGCTGAGGAGGGGACACCTGCTGCTGGGGGAACTCCTGCCACACCTGTTACCTCACAGGTGGCCAAAATGGATGGGGTACCCTGCGCTCAGGGCCATTTTCGATATCACATGGCTCTCCATCATCAAGACACGAATCCCATCACCTCCTTGGTGTAACAACCCCATAACACTGCCAAGCCAACACCAAATTAGAACTGCACCAGTGCCCCAAAGTCACATTCTGGAAAACACAACCCCATAAGGCCAACACCCCACTTGAAAGGGCAAACAGACCCCCACCTAGCCCAAGTGTCCCCAGCGTGAAGGCTGCCTCTCCCCCCGATGGCCCCTCCCCGAAGTCAACTCTGCAGCAGCCGCCCAGCGGCCAGTGACCCATGACCTGCACGTGGCTCCTTCCACAGACCCTGGGCCCAATGAGGGGCTGGAGGAGGTGGCCCTGGGGTTGTAGGTCCCTGCCTGCTGGGCCCTGACTACCCAGTCTCTTCCTGGCTGCCCCACCGTGCTGACCTCCGCCTCAACCTCAGCCCACATGTCCACCCTCCAGGCGCTGTGTTCTGGCCTGCCCCTGCGGCCTCTGCCAGAGAACCGGGGACGCTGGGCCGAGGTGCCCCATGCCCCAGTCAGGACCCCTGGCCTAAGCCCTGCAGAGGAGCAGGTAAGAAGTGACCCCAAACCTTGCGGGCCCTCCGGGTGGTCCGCGGTGGCTGTCCTGCCTCCTGCTCTCTCTGAGGGAGCTGAGCCCCCCCAACTCGACCCCAGCCCCGGCCTCCGGGACTCCCCGTGGAGGTGGGGGCGAGACTATCACACGCGGTATCTCTCGGGTCAGGCCACCCTTAGGTGCGGCATGACGGTCCCCATTTACAGAGCAGGACGCTGGGGCTCAAGGTCACTTAGCGGGTCGGGGCGGCTGCGGCCGAGGCCTCCAGTGGGCGGAGGAGGGTCGGGTGTGACGTGCCCAGCAGAGCCACCCATGCCTCGCCTGGCCCCGAACACCGCTCCGGCCCCGCCTGTCGCCTGTGACCTTCCTCCCGCCTCCGCAGTGCTTCTGCAGCGAGCAGCCCGAGGCGGGTCGCGGGCCGCCCGGGGCCTCGCTGTGCTCGTTTGTAAGCAGAGGCCGGACACGATCCCACCACAGGCTTGTGGAGGAGACTCAGAGAAATAACGCGGGGACACGGCCACATAGCGTTTTCTCCTCCTTTCTCTCTATTCGAAATATTCGAGAATGCAGAAACAGTGGAGAAAAAGTGGAAACCGCCAATAGCACAAAGGTTAAAAGAGCAACCTCACCACCCCAGAGGCAGTCGCCCTTCCGGAGGCCACCCCCTGGGATTCCTTTCCTCGAGCGCGTCCGCTGAGGCGGGGGTGGCGTGGGGCGAGGCCGGGGTAGGAGCTGTGGGGGCGGGGCCGGGACTTGCCCGGGGTCCGGGAGCGGCCGCGGGCGTCCCGCCTCTTCACCCGGCCACTCTGGCCCAGCTGGGCTGACGTGCCGGCTGTGGTGAAGGTTTCCTGCGTCGACCTTCGGCCACGTGCGCCCGACGCCGTTCCAGGTGTGTCACCTTAAGTTAGTCCCCAAGACAATCCTGTGAGGTGGGTGCTGTTATTAGACCCACTTTACAGATGAGGAAAGCCAAGTCAGCGAGGTGCAGCGCCTGTGCGACGGGCCCTCTGCTACACATCGAGGTGGGACAGTGAAGGCCGACGGCAGCAGCCTCTGCGAGGCCATCCCCGCCGGTGCGAGCCTGAGCCGCGGCGCGGTCCCAGGAGGTCTGGCTCCTGCGCCTGGCTCTTAACGTAGGTCCGGGCCAGAACTGGCCAGCCCGAGTGAAGGCTGGGCCAGCGGGGTGCAGGCGCGGGAAAGATTCAGACAGCCAAGCCAGTTAGATCGTGGTCATCATTTTTGGCAGAAATAATGCCATTCAGGAACTTTCAGTGGATGAGGTTTAAGAGTGAGTTACTACCCCACGATCTCACTGCCGGGTTGGAATGAAAATAAGCCATGGGGCTGATCCCTAGCTCAGTTGTTTAGTGCAGGGCCTTGTAACACCAAGGTCAAGGGTTTTTTCTCCCCCGACGGCCAGCCGCCAAAAAAGGCAAACAAATATAAAAGTAGGTCATAGGCTGAATACACACACACGCACACACCTGCTCTGTGAGCTGAGCAAGCTGGTTCTCTGCCAGTGAGGTGCAGAGCCACCCTGCAGGGCAGGCTTGCTCACGGCTGGGTACTGCCTAATCAGGGCTCTGTTACTGCCCGTATTAGCTTTCTGTGGCTGCTGTAACAAATCACCACAAATGTAGCTGTTTGGAACAACACACATTTATTCTCATACAGTTCGGGGGTCAGAAATCTGAAATGGGTTTCAATGGCTAAAATCAGGAAATACTAGTGAAAAGATCCTGATGTTAAAATCGGGCTTGTTCCTTTGTTCTCTTATTGTGTCTTGCCAGCCTCATTTTTGGCACAAATATTACATATCAGATTGTCCTGGTTTATGTTTACATGTTTGAAAAGTTCGTAATACATTGTTAGTAGCATTAAATATATTATATGGAGTTTTAAAAAATGCCACAGGGCTGTGCTCCTTCTGGAGGGGAGGGGCCGTCTCTGTGCCATTCTTGGGGTTTGGAGGCCGCCTGCGTGCCTCAGCCTGGGGCTTCTTCCTCCATCCTTGAACTCAGGAGCTTGGCATCTGCAAAACTACATCACATCACTCTGACACTCTGCTTTTGTCCTCATGTGTCCTCTGACCCTGACCCTCCGGCCTCTCCTGTGTTGGATTATGCAGGATCATCTCCCTATTCTAAGATCCTTGACTCAGTTGCATCTGCAAAGTCTCTTTTGCTGTGTAAAGTAACATACTAACAGGTCCTGGGGTTAGGACATGAACATCTTTGGGGGTGGGCATTATTCTGTCTACCGTACCATCAAGAGCCCAGAATCCTCTGGTACCAGCCCTAAGCCACTGAACTTGTTAGAGTCTTCTGCCTGTGAAGGCAAAGAAATGTGTTTGTGGGGCTTCTCTAGAATATTCTATCCAATTTATATGTCTCAACTTCTGGTTTCACCAGTAAGAACCCACTTGTAACATGCATTATGTGATTAACAAGTTACAGTTACACCAGTGAAAACCCATTTCTGACATTCTATGTGCTGTGTGGCAGGACCCTCTGGTGTACACTGAGATTCGGAGAGCTGAAGCGCTTTGGCATCCTGTGATAAGCACGCTAGGGGACACCAGGGGTGAGAGTTCCCAACAAGGGAGCCACTGCCTCTGTCTGTGTATTCTGTAGCATTTTAAAGTAAACTGAAGACCTGAGAACACGGGAGCTGTGAAGGCAGGTTGCGGTGGCTATTTGGAGAGAGGGGCTGGGGAGGAGGAGGAATCAGGAAACACTCCCCAGGTTCCAGCTCGGGGGTCTTTAAAAGAACAGGTGGGTAGAAGGTCTGGCATCTTCCTAATACACAGCCAGGTAGACGGTGTGAGAGATGAGGAAACTGCAGTGGGGTTGGGAGTGTGTGGGGGTAACCTGCCCAAACTCATAGCTGGTAGGTGAGGGCTTGACGCAGGCATGGCAGTGCCCACTGGTCCACGGTCATCAGGAAGTGACTGACCCTTCACACCACGCAGCCTGTGCTCGTGGGCCCGGCCTGCTGAGCCTCCTCCTCTGTTGAGGGTGCCGGTCTGTGGAGGCAGCTGGGCCTCCACACCGGGCCTGCCACAGGCCTGCTGCAGGATCCCCCGCAAGCCACCCACGGCTTGTGTGAGTGCCGTTTTCTCCTCCTCATGCTGAGAACTGCCCCAGAGCTGCTGTGTTGAATCCAGGCCGGCTAAAAGAACCTTCTTCTCCCACTTAAGAAAAATATATTGCACGCCTGTTACAAATGACTCTAGACATAGAGTGTGATATTTTGATATATAAACTTCTGTCCGGTCTTCCTCCTGCTGCTTTTCAGACATACAACTCCTAAAATCCTTAGACTCTCCAAAGTAATGTCTTTCGAAGGCCAATAAGCTGACTGGTGGCTGGCAGCCCCTAGGTAGCTTCAGGCAGGTACTGGGCACAGGAAAGGCCTGTGGCAGGACTAGAGGGCTGGGACTTTCAGCCCCAGCCCCAGCCTCCAGGGAGGGAAGAGGGGCTGAAGGTTGAGCCTCTGTAATAAGCCTCCATGAAAACCCCAAAGGTTGGGCTTCGGGGAGCCTCTGGCTAGTGAACACATGGAGGTTCCTGGAGGGTAGTGCCCAGGGAGGGTGTGGAACCTCCGTGCCCCTTCCCCACACCTCGCCCTGTGCGTCTCTTCATCTGTGTCCTTTGTAATAAAATGTGTTTCCCTGAGTTCTGTAAGCTGCTCCGGAAGATCAATTGAACCCAGAGAGGGGGTTGCAGGAACCCCAACTTGAGGCTGGTTGGTCAGAAGTTCCAGAGACCTAGACTTGCGCCATGAGTGGTGTCTGAAGTGGGGGCAGTCTGGGGACTGAGCCCTCACCCCGTGGGGTCTGGCGCTATCTCCAGGTAGACAGTGGCGGAATTGAGTTGAATTATGGACACCCTGCTGGTGTCTGCTGCAGCATTGCCGGCTTGCTCGCTGGTGGGGAGAACCCCAGGCATCTGGTCGCAGGTCTTGTGCTGGTCTCAGTGTGAGTGTAGAGGAGAGCAGACCGCTTTTCTACTCGGTCTGTCCTTTGTCCACTCACAGGGGACAGCATACTGAGTGAAAACATGATAGAAGAAGGTCAAGTCTTATTCCGCGGAGCGTGGTGAGTGCATCTGCAGCAATAGCTGCAGCTCACTGTGGCTCACAATTGAGTTTGTGTGTGTATATGTTACTTTCAAAAGCTTTGCTGGTAAGCTCTGATTAGCAGCTATACAGCACTGAAAAAGCACAACCTTCAGGGTGAGGTGTACCACACAGGACCTCGGGTGCACAGATGAGCACCCGCAGACCCATGGGCAGAGGGGGCAAGCACCACCGTGCCCGAGGTGCCCTGCAGGTGGCCGCCATCCTGCACTCTGACTGCACGCTTCAGCTGTGCTGCCTCTGAACTTCCCATCAATGGCATTATATACTATGTTCCCTTTTGTGTCAGCTTTTTTCACTGTCACTGTGTTGGGAGATTCATCCTGGTGGCTGAATGTAACTGTGGGTTGTTTGTCAACTGAAATCAAGGCCATCAAGGCAGAAATAATTCTGTAAAGTTTATTGGGAGCCAGCTGTGAAGATCAACCCGGGACATAGTCAGAGAGGTGCCCCGAAGCACAAACAGCAAAGGTTCATAGACAGGAAAGGCTGGAGACAGCAGAAAGAAAGAACAAAAAATGGATAGGTCATTTCAAAGTTACTTTCCTTGTATGGTGGGGACAGGGAGACAGGACAAAGGAAAATAACTGAAGAGTTAACAACAGGTGACTTCAGTCTGCCTCTTCTGTGTGAGGAACGAAGCAGAGGGAACTTTGTTATCGCAACTGTTGGAGATTTACACTGGCCTGTCTGGGAAGCTGGCTGTTACCTCTTTCTCCTGCCTTCTCTGAAAGTCAGACCACAGCCCAGGTGACATGGAACTTAGCGGGGCTGTTTCCATTTTGGCTTTAGTCTGATCTTTTGGGCCTAATGCAGGACCTTAGTCCAAAATAATGGCTTCTGACAATTTTTATTTAACATGTTCATTCTCACTGCTGACACCTGGCAGTTCCCAAAGTAGCATCCCTGGCCAGCAGAGTCAGCATCCCCAGGGAACTTGTCAAAAACACAAATCAGAGACTGGGGGTGGGGGGTGGGCAGCCCTTGGGGGATTCTGATGCAGGCTGGAGTTTGAGAGCCCCATACTGAGGCACACCCTTAGCCCCCTCCATAAGGGGTCCTGGCAGGGCTCCCTCTCAGCTCCCTGCTGGCACCCCTGCCCTGCTCACACCCCCGAAATGCTGGTGTCCTGGGGCCTGGCCCTGGGCCTTCTCTCCTGTCTCCTCTCAGCCTCACTCCAGCTCTCCCTGCAGTAGACATCTGAATTCACCCAGCTCCCCTCTCCCCTCACCTCCAGAGCAGCTTGTTAGCCAAGGATAGCTGGTTGAATAAATGACCTCGACATTCACCCAGACACCTGGGTGTCACCCTGGACCCTTGCCCTACCTTGCCCGCTCCCACCCCCAGACTCCAGTCTGGGTGTTGGAAGCAAGAGCTGTAAAGGGGTGCCAGGCCTCAGGTCCTCCTGCAGCTTGCAGGCCATAGCAAGGAAACAGACAGCCGAACGTCCAACATGAAAAGCCCTGAAAGGAAACACAGGTGGAGAGAGGCTGGGAGGCAAGCAGGAGAGGTCAAGACAGGTCTCTGGACTGAGAGGAGGGGGTTGTCCAGGAGGATTTGGGGTGGTGGAGGGAAGGGTTCATGCAAAGGCCCTGAGGTGGGACCAGAAACGTGAGGAATACTTGGAGAAGAGTGACCAGAGGGTGTGAGGGCTCGGGTGCTCTCCCCAGGGGTAAGAAGCCCTCCTTGGCCTCCTGTCCTGGCCTCAGGCTCTGCCCAGGCCTCATCAGATCTACTCCCAGAGATGCAAATATACCATTGTGCACTGCCTGAGGTTGGGCTGAGAACACAGCCTACACGCTCCTTGCCAGATCCTCCTGTCCTGGCCTCAGGCTCTGCCCAGGCCTCATCAGATCTACTCCCAGAGATGCAAATGTACCATTGTGCACTGCCTGAGGTTGGGCTGAGAACACAGCCTACACGCTCCTTGCCAGATTGGGCACCTGCTCGAGGTGCTTTTCTGTGCTTGCACGAGGTGCTTATGGCTGCAGCAGGTGTGCTCTCCTCCCCTTGACCTACATTCCACTGTCCTGCAAGCCTTCAGCAGGCCCCTCTGTGGTCCTTGCCTGGGGTCAAGCAGCCTGGTTCCTTGGGGCAGGAGGTGGTCTGTGATGAGCAAGAAGAGGGAGGGACTAGGTCTGCCTTCATGAAAGGGGCAGGCTGGGCAATCGAGGAAGGCTTCCTGCAGGAGGGGACATCATAGATGGCCCAGGGCAAGAATCAGGCAGTCTCTGGGTTGGTCAATAGATTTCTGAGTGGAGCAGAGGCAGATGGGGTCGGGG